TAATGTTGTGGTTTGGATTGCCCTAGAGCTGGCTCACCCATACCTAGACTTTATCTAGAGAAATTGCCTTAAAGGTCAATTTGTTGCATTTGCCAACATTTTCCTTAGTTTTGAGGTTCAATAATGAGAAAATTCCTGTTAATACTTCTACAGAGGTTAGCATTTATGAGGCCTGGGTTAGGCTTTATGACTGCAGAAGCTTATCTGCTCTGAGACAGATTCAAAGCTGTATCCAATCTTGTCAGTCTTCAAAGGCACCCTCACATGACTGTAAGGCCTGGCTGAAGCCTGCTGGGGTGTGTAGCCATACACCTGATTGTCACACGCCACGCCAGATTAAACCCACTGCGTGTAGGGCTGGCTGCAGTCATTGTCTGCTGAATGCACAATGTACCAGGGTCTTACGTCCCTGTACTGGGAGAAAGGTTACGATTTGTTTTGCAGGCAGGAATGCTTTTTCTTCTGTTTGCTTTCCAAGTGAAACTTTAAGGGTAGATGCCACTCAGTCTCAGAGATGGATGTCAGATGATCTCAGCTTAGTGATTTTTCCAAGGCTGGGTTTTACTGAAATGTATTACTGCACTGCTAGTTCACAGCCAGCATCCAAGCCAGAAGAAAGTCTGATAAATTTCAGGCACTTAGGAATGCACTGGTTAAGATATCTGCAAATCACTTACTTGGAGCTCTGGCGGTGTTTTTATTAAAGGTGATACAAGCTTTGAAATCTGGTGCCTCACTGGCTAAAGCTGCAAAGCAGTCTTTAAACAGGCTTTGGTGCGTTCTGTTGGGTGCAAGTCACAGACAAACGTTGCTCTCAGACGATCTAAGAAAGAAAAGTGGTTTACTTCCCAGTGACTGCAGCTATGGATATGTTGCCTGTATATATTTAATGAGTAACCTCACTTCTGGACTTCCTTTTCTTCCCTCTTTTCTTACAAACAGAGGCAATGCTTTAACACTGTGTGGTTCTTGTTTAGTATGCAGTACCTTTCAGATGCCTGCCATGCAATTCTCATGCATCATCTAAATTCGCCTTTCATTTCTAAGCTGTTACCCTTTACTGGAGCAGAACAGTTTTCAGACAGTGAGCATCTTTCAGTCATTGTATGTCTGAGCACTGCTGGTTCTAACATTGGTGTTCTGGGCTGGTGAAGAAGGGGAGTGGTACTTGTTCCTTTCCTGTTCTCGAAGGAATTAGGAAAAAAACAACTTTCTATACTCTTGAAAAAATGTCAGCAAATAGTATTCATCTAAAATTGGCAAGAAAGGTGCATCTAGCTTTCTAGCTGGCAGAAAGCAGTCCTGTTTATACTACAGAGCAGACTGAAATGTTGCTGTGTGAAGCACATGGATAACAGGATTTCCAGAGGTTAGAGAGGTAAGTAAGGTGGTGTTTTGTTGTTTGTTTTTTTCTCCTTTTTCTTTCAGAACCTGAAATCATCTTTGCATGAATAAAAAGATGGTCAGAAAGGACATAAACATTATTTTTATTTCCTTCCATCTTTCCACGTAGATTTGTCATTCTTTTCACCTTCACGCTTTTTCTTTCTTGTACCAGAATCTGTTTTATTTAGCACAGGCAAATAATGCAGAGACATCAGTGCAGGAAGTCAGTCCTGGGTTCATCTGCACCAAGGGCCTTCAGAGAATTGAAGAAATTCCTCTTTTCTCTGTGAGTACTGTGAATAGCAGAGAGCAAACAAATGGGGTAACACAGCACAGGATATGCAGGTGGAAGGAAGTAGAGGAACTGATCTGACTTGGAAAAAAGGTAGCAAAGAAGGTTTGGGAGGAGATCCTGTCTCATCTGCATGCTTGCATTTGTACATAACAAGCACATACACAGAGGGAGGCTTGCACGTTTCTAGCAGCCTGACAGGGCACTGTCTAGATTTAAGGCTTCCAGTGTACACATTTTTTTATTTTAGTTATTATCCATTCTAATAAATCTGCTGCTTTACATTTTTCATTAATACCCACAGATGGGAGAGGTGATGCACATGCATGTGAAATGAATGAGCATGTATGTACTGGAGTGCATGAAGGTACTTACACCTGCCTATTCTTTTCCAAGGGGTCTTTTGGGGATGAGGTGGCCAGAAGGATTTATGGGAATTAGTCCCCCATCTGCCCCTTGCATTTGTGTGATCCCCTGCAAGACATCTGGGGCTGCTTCCAGTCCTGAGTTCCTAATGGCTGTAACACTAATTAATTACAGGATCACCATATTGCATGTTTTTGTGTAGAAAACTGCAAAAATGTTTTCAGTTTCTTAAGATAACAGACTGGTATAGCTCATTAAATATGTGGTAGCGATAATTTCAATTTATATCAGGAAACAGATTTTACCCAGAAAATCTGAATAACTTTGGAGACCCAAACCACAGTGGAATTCTGAAGTAATCCCTTGAAGTCTTGTGCAGTTTCTATGGAAACATGCAGGTGCTCAGGCTGAGTTTGTGAAATAAAATAATCAGTTATAATTATCTGGGAAAAATGAGTGATTCTTTTCCACATAAGAACTACTGTGTGTGTTGTCATAACTGAAGACAAAGAGGAGTGCATGATTGTCCAATGCATGTTTTTAGAATTCAGCGTTTCTGCACAAGACTTTTCAGGCCTTCCCACTGAAAGGAGTAAAAGTATTTCTGGAAAGCATAGTCTTAACAATTATGTTAAATCTGTGCTGCACCTGCAGAGAATTGGAGTCTCATGGGCACAGGGATAATTCTGTTATTCTGACTTTAAACAAATTGCATTTATTTTTTTATGGCAAGTATATAAAGGCCACATCAGTATGCTCACAGTCCACATCCCATCTGCAGGGCATCAGGACAGCCCTTTTCTGCAGACCTAACACTATCTTCAGCTAAGTGTGACATGTGTTTCTAGGAATACGTTGCCCAGCTACAGTTTCCCCTAAACTTTGAGCCAGTGGTACCCAATTATCGAGATGGAGATGTTCTGTTTCCGTGTTTTGTTGTGTTGTAACGTTTAAAATGTGGGATTGTCAACAGCAATGCTAGCTGGAAGAATTTAAGTTTTCCACTCGACTAATGGCCTTAAGTTTATAGTTTCTTCCTTATTGTTTAAATTAGTTGCAAATTTTGAGGGAAAACATTTGAAAGTTTTGCATTTTCTACTGAAGGTCTGTCAGGCATTGAGGGAGGGTGTTCCCAGTAGTGTTCCTCAGTACCAAGGCTTTGGTCCTGGCTCTGCAGTATTGCAAGCATGGTGATGCAGGGACTTTTAACTCCAGAACAACACGTTTAAAATACTAGACAAGCTTTCTGGGGAAACAAAAAGACTATGGTGTGATAGTTGCAAAACATCGGGAAGGTTTAGATCTGCAAAGGAATTTAGTTACCTTGTTCTCTTTTGGAATTAAGAGGGTTGTACTGATGGTTTATGGTGGCTTCTTTCAATTCAGGCCTAAACTTTTGTTTTTCTGTGTCCTGTTTACCTGGGAAATCTGCCCTCTATGCAGCTGGGTTTCTGTGTAATTTCTATTCAGCTGTGTCAACAGTTGCCCTGCCTAGTCTGGCACACTGAGTACTGGGTGGTGAGCTGTGCTGAACCCATAGTGAGATACAATCCTACCCTGAAAAGTAATTAAAAAAGAAAAGGACTGAAAGTATGAAGGAAGAAAACAGCCTCCTTTGAGATTTCCCTGTGGCCTCCAGGTAAGCCAGCAGCACATCTGAGAACAGAAGCTGGTTCTCTTTACCAGCCGGTGTCATACTACACTGCCTACTAACAGGACATGGTTATCATCACACACAGACATCACCACCCCGTCTCCTAAAGGGAAATGAACTGTCTGTTTTGTTTGTTTGTTTGTTTATTTCAGTCTATGTAGGACTAAATGGGTGCTGTAGACAGGCTCCCCTCCTCCCAGGAAGATGCACCGTGTACTTGTAGGTGGTGCTTCTCACTCCTTCACTACATGGGTATGCTGGGTCCTAGCTCTGATGTGTAATGACAGAATTTTAGCCCAGCATCTTTGGTCTCTGACAACCTATTGTGGCACGTTTTTATGTAGGGGGTGGTTGTGCTCTGCATCAAACGGGGTTGCCTTGCTCAGTTTATTCCTTCTCACTGTACTCTAAGGGTAAATGTAATCTCCCTGGAGCCCTGTAAATTATTGATGTGAAAAACTGCGGATTCAGGAGATGAAAAACTTTGCCCAGATTCAGTGAATGAACTCGCACATCAATTCAGGAGCTCTCCTTGTTTTCTGTCTGGTTTCTCTCTTAGCAGTGCCTGCTTTCCTGTCTGGGCTGCACTGACGGGAGCAGTTTAGCAGTGCTGCACATATTCCTGTTCTTTTTCACTTATTCCCAAGTGTGATACATACCATGACTGGACAGGGGAAGTCTCTCCCTTGACATTTTCTCATAAACCTCTAATTTTTCTTTCTCTGCATAGCTCACCTCTGTAGCATATACAGTTCACCTGTTCCTGCATATTATAACAAGCAGATGTTTATTACCAGTTTTCTGTCTTTAGGAGGAAACGACGAAAGTGTAAAATAGCTACAGCATCTGGCACCCAGACAGCTCTGGGGCAAGCTTCATTAGTACTTGAACCTTTTCATTTGCATAACCTTGGAAAGGATAAATTTACAAGATAAATTAGTAAGTCCGTGCTAAAAATTAGCAACACCCTCAAGGTGGCTCTGACCCACCGCCAGGCTTATAGCATATGTAAAATAAAAAATAAAGTTATAGGGCTGCTCGTGGAGATGGGGGAACGACCCCAGCCGAGCCATGCCCCGAGGAAACGCCCTCAGCACCTCCACCGGGGGCCGAGGTGAGCTCGCGGCTCCGGATGAGGCTTCCCCGCCCGGCGGGGCGGCTTTCTGCGGGCCGGGGCCAGAGGCAGCAGAGGGAACCCGCAGCCCGAGGGCTCCTCCCGAGCCCTGCCTCCCCCGGGAGGGCTCCGCGCCGCCCCCGGCCCAGCCTCGCTTCCCCGGCCTCCCCCGGGCCATGGCGGCGGGGGCGGGCCGGGGCGGGGCGGTGCGCTGACAGGCAGCCCGGCCGCCCGGCCGTAAACAGCAGCCGGACGAGGGAGCCGGGGCTGCCCCAGCCCAGCCGGAGCTTCGCAGCCTCCCCTCGGCAACGCCGCGGCTCGGCCGCCTCCCAGGGGCATGGGCGCGGGCACGGGCAGCAGCCGCAGCCGGAGGAGGAGCCGCCGGGCCGGGCCCTGCGCGGGGCACCGAGGTAGGCTCGGCCGCCGCCCCGGCCGTGGGGAGCCGCCGCCGCCGCTTCCCCCGCGGGGGCCCAGCGAGCCCCGCCGCCCCCCTTCGGGCTCGGGGAGGCCGGGCCGGGCGCTGGGGGGCTGCCCCCGCCCGGCGGCCGCCGCTCGTCCCCGCCGGGCGCCGGGGAAGGCGGCGAGCAACAGGCGGCCGGGCCGGGGGCTGCGCCCAGCACGGGGAGCGGGCGCCAGGTGCAGCGCTAAGAGGCTTTGCCCTCCGCCGCCGGCTTTGTCTGCGCAGCCTGACCTCGTCCTGCGGAGAGGGAGGGCGCCGGGGGCAGCCGAGGGGGAGAGGCGCCGGCTTCGGGCTGCCTGCTCGGTTCTGACGGGGACCCCGGTTCCCACCCGGGGAGCGGAGCGGAGAGAAAACTTTGTGCGAGGTGCGCTGCTCGTGGCGTGACCGCAACGAGCCGGCGGGCTGGGAAACCGCATTGCCGGGCGGCTGCGGGAGCTGGAGGGTGGCAGCCGTCCGCCGGCTGTCCCCCGGGGTAACGCCGGCTCCAGCGTGCTGGAAGTGCGAGCGAAGCCAGGTGTGTGAGGTGCCCACCTTCCATGCTCACGCCTCTGGCTCTGGCACTGCACAGTCCCTGCGTGGTCCTGAGCAAAGCAAACCCGCGGAGCTACCGGCGGCATAACCGGCCGGGGACACCCAGGGTAGGGCCCGGTGGGTGTGCACAGAGAGCTTGGGAGGAAGGTGGGGCTGGCAGAGGAGCCCTGGTCTGGCAGCAGCACTTCAGCACTCTTTAAGAGCTTGTGCTGCTGACTTCAGTTCTGGAGTAGTGTCAGGTCAGGCTGGGCTTGAAGCAGTAACAGCCCTAAAATAGCCCGAAAATTTTCAGAGGAAAGAAGTTTTCTTTGGAAAATGTTTATCAAGCCCAAGATGTTTTGTTTGAAACCTGTCAATGCTGATGAATTTCTCCTGACACAGAGTTCAGCTAAGTTTGTCTCTGGACCAGGATTCCTGGAAGCAAAAGTCCTGGCTCAGAGATGTGCTCAGGATAACAAACTGTGCCCAGGATAACAATGCCTGCTGAGGGGTGCTGCAAGCTGCTCAGCTGTGACCCACGCTGTTGGTGCCAAACTCCCTGGAGCAACCTATAGCTGCACTGTGAGAGCAAGACCTTCCCCAGCATTTAGTACTGCTGCTGGACACCCAACAACTGTCTCTTCTCTGTGAGCTTCACCTAACTTTGGTTACTGTCTGATGTGAACCTGACAAATCCAGAATTCTGACTATTTGGTGTTGTGGTGCTGTTTGTGGATTTTTCTCTGGCGTGGCTTTCTGCTAGCCCTAGTCAGCAGTCTTGCTTATAGAGTTAGACTAGTTGAAAAGAAGCAATTTTCTGTTTTGGGGTGTCAGGTTGGAAGAAACGCTATCACCTTTTTCATAACTGAGTGTACGGATACGTAGTCAGAGCTGGCGGAGGTGTCCAAATGAAGCAGTTATTATTCTAGGACCAGGAAATCCACCTGTTCTCTGGTTGGTTTTGCCTAGTCTTAAGTGTCACAAGGACGTATTAATTCAGCAGGCTGGCTGAACTTCCTATATTTTCAGAAAGTTTTTCTGCTCTCATAGCTCTAACCCTTTGGACAAACAACTCTCCCATGTTCGAGGGTGAAAGGACTCAATCTTCCCAGCTGCTGGGGCTGTCAACACATGCCAAAGTCTCTTCTCTGCTAGCCTGGTTTCCTTATTGCTCTTCCAAGCACTGTTACTAGGGGAGGAAGCAGATCACTGCAGGAGCGTGGCAGCTCCTAGTCGCGATGCTACTCAAGGAAGGAGAGGTAGGTTCTTATAACAAGTCCTAAATTGATTCAGCATCCTGAGAAAAAGGAGTTTCCTGTTCTGGGTCTTTCCTTTCATATCTGTCAGAAGCAGTCAGCCCAAAGGTGACAGAGTGATAGCCAACCTCATAAATAGTTACTGAAGACTAGAGTGAGAAGGGTCATTTGCCAGGAAAAATGCAACCAGGAATTAAGTGTCCTCCTCTTTATTCTTTTTGAATTTTGCTTTATATTTTCTTTTGCTATTGTGTCTGTACCTTCCTTACCCCCAGTTAGATATAAGGAACTCTTGAGCCTTGTAAGTGTCTAATGAGCGTTGTGTAAGAGCTCAAAGCTCTGCAGTGCTTTGGATGTGGCTGGAAAGACGGGGAGGTGCTTCCACTCTGTTTGCTGTAGAAAGAGGTGAAGTAGAGGCAGAACTTCCACTTTTTATTTGTAACCAGAGAGCTATTGTTTCAACGGCACTGTATTTTTATCATGGCACTTTTTGGAAAAAAGTCTTTTCTGTTGTTTTTTTTGGTCTGATTTTTACTGTATGTTCTCAAATGAACAGTATGTTTATATAGTGTGTTCTGAAGAAACGCGTAGGAAATAGTTCAAGTGCCTGACTTCCCTTAGATGTCAAGGCAAGTTAATGTTATCCACATCTCTGGAAATCTACCCCAAAACTTTAATTGCATGATCTGTTTGTATATAAAGGTTTGGAGATCCAGAACTTGGGTAAGCAGCAAAGCAGAATTTAAGATGTTCAGCAATCCAGTCAAATCCCCTTGTGGGAATGCTGTCCTGTTTTCTTAATTATGGTTGTTCTGGCCTCTGAGACCCTTGAACTGCTCATCCTCTTTTGAAACACTGCTTAGGAAAATAGGTCATCTCTGGTCTTTAATTTGATTTGATTGGTTCATAGGACCCAAATATGTTTGTTCATGGATAGCTGCCTTTCCTGGGTGCTCTTGTGGGTTTGCGTACTGAAGAATAAGAACACTTGTAATTCTAAGCAATTACTCTTGTCTAGGTTTTGCATCCACTTCATCCTCCCGTTTCTAAAACCAATGGGAGGCTCATTTGTCATTTTGGGTAGCATGGGCTGAGCAACGTAAGGTTTTTCTGAGTAAGACTTGGTCATGCAAAATTTTTAGAAACAATGTGCATTGAGCTTGAGAGGTCAAAGACTGTTACTTCTATGGAAATGGTATTTTATTCGCTTTAAAATATGCTGAATTAATTTTATACATAGTATTTATGCATACAAATACTGAATAGCAAAGTTGTAGAAGGCTGTAAAGAACGGAAAATTAGAAGTCTGGGAAAACTTCAAATCTAGGACATACTAAAGGGGCATTTTTCCTAGAGAACAAGCAATGTTGTTACTGCCAACTCCGGTGCTTCCTTCTCTGAAGGATCAAGGCTGGCTGCTGCAGCAACAGCACCAGGGAACCACATAAACCACATGTCTAATTCACTGTATGGATTCTTACAGCGAGATACGGAAATAGCAGTATTCATGGAACTTGTGCGGCGTTTGCTGTGACTTGCTTTGCTAACTTGTGCATTGGCTGTAAAGATCTGGTGGCAGCTTGTTTGTGCATTGCAGAGCTGCATTCAGCTTGCTGGATGGGTTTTGTTAGTGGAGAAGGTCCACAACTCCAGGGCCTTGAAACCATCTTCAAAAAGCTGGGGCCAGTTTACTATTTCTGTTGTGTGGCCTGTCCTGAAAACACCAGCTGGCTAAAGAACTTGTAATTTCCAAAGCAGATTCTCTTTCGCTGCTTACCACAGTGTTTTTGTGGGTCGTTTATCAAGCAATCTAACCACATTGCTGCGAAGCACTAAACAAGCATTTAACAGATTACATTGTGTTTATTGATTCTGGGTTAGGTAAGTGGACAAGATGCCTTTGCACAGTCTTTGCAAGCACTGTTTTTTTCACCTGTTCAATGCAATTAACAGTACGCTTTAAGAACTGTGTTATTCTTAAATGTAACTCATTGCCAGACAGCTCACAAACAGCAGCAGAGATCTGTCTCAACCATCAACAGTTTTAGTGCTTGCAATTTCTTTCCCCAGGGAGCAGGGGGAAAGCCGGCCTTTATTCTGCGCCCAGCTGGTTATCAGGTTTGGGCTGCTGTAAATAAAAGGTGCATGTAAATGGCTGTTCAGTTTCTATGTCATTTAAAGTAGGTGCCTGTCTGGAGTTCACCTGGGAGACCTCCAGACGAGTAGGGGATCTTGGCAGCACATCTCGCGTTTAACCAGAGACCTGACAGAAGGTCAGAGTTGATTGAACTCAACTGAAAACAGTGCTGGGATTTGTGACACCAGGTATATCTCTCATGGGTTACAAAATATTAACAGATCCTGGAAACCGTGGTTGAGATTTTCCAGTGTTGGATGAAATGAGATGCTTAGTCAACTAGTAGGTGAGCCCTTTGCTCCGTGAGGCTCATGTAAGGGTCACAGTTTTAAGCCTTGCAGAGGTTGGCCAGGTGGCCAGGATCAATACAGAACACGAATAGCATATATGTAAGGATGGGTAAATCCTATGTTTTAGTTAGGCATACATGGATGACCTGCCCCTAAAAGTTTCTGTCCTTAAAGGGCAGTAGGAGGGCAGAATACATGTCAATGTATTCAAGGGCAACTTTGGCCCCTACTTTGACCCCAGCTTGAATAAAATCCTGCTTTTACACACCATGAAGGGTAAGAGGTTCATTACAAGGAACAAAAATATTCCCAGCTGTTCATCCCTACCTAAGCAGGTAGCTTGACCTCTGTCATGTTCTGGACATGCAACAAGAAACTGACCCTCTGAACCAGGAGGGGCAGCTGAATTGAACAGAGGAGAAAAAAAGAAAGAAGGAACTTGGGTGCCAGGCCAAAAATACCTATATATGGATAGAAGCTCGCACACATGGTTGCTACTTTTTAGAAAAGCAAACCAATCCCTTCCTCTCAAACATACTTTATTTTTAAAAAGCCTTTTGGTTCCTCTTTATCATGTGTGCTGCTCCTGCAAGGAAGAGTATCTGGGGGGTGGGTGGGAGGGGAGGGCTATTACTAATAAACAGTCAGGCTTCCCTTGGGTCTGATCTGCTGGTTCCGATGACCAGAATAATCTGTCACTCTGACTGACTGCTAATAACTCTGTGCCATGGGTGTAGCTTGAGGATGGGAAATGTTC